CCTATGCATACAATATATAGGAGTCCATATTGTTCATACCCTAACATTTATTCTGAACCCCTCAATCGTAATCCCTAATTTTATTGATTTTTGCAGTAAAAAACATTACAGTTGCCATTACATTGTGTTCACAACTGTCAACATTCGAAAATGTTTTGGTTGTAGTTGTTGTTATTGAAAGCTGTGAACATTCACATTGATTGAAAATGGTTTGATAATCAAATTATTCCAGATGTTATTCGGTTGTTGTTCAATGCTGTGAACATTCACATGGTTTCAAAAATGTTTTGGCCAATTCTTTTTTGTTGCTGTTGATAATAGATGTGAACATTCACATTGAGTTAAAATGTTTGAGTAATTAGGTATTAATGGTGTTGTTGTTGTATGCTGTGAAAATTCACATGCATTGACACTCTTTGGCCAATTCTGTTGTTGTTTTTGTTGTTGAAAGATGTGAACATTCACATTGCCTAAAAATTGTAGGACAATCAGATATTATTGGTTTATTTTGTTCTAGGCTGTGAACATTCGCATTGCCTGAAAATTTTAGGAGATTAAGATATTATTGGTGCTGTTGTTCTATGCTGTCAACATTCACATTGCCTGAAAATTTTAGGAGAGTCAGATATTATTAGTGTTGTTGTTCTAGGCTGTGAACATTCACATTGCCTGAAAGTTTTAGTTCAATCAGATATTATTGGTGCTTTTGCTCTAGGCTGTGAACATTCACATTGCCTGAAAATTTTAGGTGAGTCAGATATTATTGGTGCTGTTGTTCTATGTTGTCAACATTCACATTGCCTGGAAATTTTGGGATAGTAAGATATTGTTGGTGCTGTAGTTCTAGGCTGTGAACATTCACGTTGCCTAAAAATTTTAGGAGAGTAAGATATTATTAGTGCTGTTGTTCTATGCTGTGAACATTCACATTGCCTGAAAATTTTAGGACAATCTGATATTATTGGTGCTGTTCTTATATGCTGTGAACATTCACATTGCCTAAAAATTTTAGGACAATCAGATATTATTGGTGCTGTTGTTCTATGCTGTGAACATTCACATGGATTGAAAAATATTGGGCCAATGAATAGGGATATTTAGATTCTTTTCTCCCTATTGCGAATGTTTGCCTTGTTGGTATTGTTGATTGTTAATGGTGATCCAATAAGTTGATCCATCATTTTATATGTTTGTGTTAACATCTACATGTTCTTCAATGGTGTTCATGGTTGTATAAAAATGCATTGTTTTCCACACACTGATACAATATGTACATTGTGTTTGTGCTGACACAGTCAAAATACACATTCATGTACATATGTGAATGTTCACAACCACACACGAACTCTGGTGATTCACACCCACGCACACAACTGTGAACATGCACATCAGTGGAAATGCTGTGAATGTTCACATCTATTCCACTATGCTAATCATATGAGCCTTCACTTAATTTTTTTTAAATGCTCCATTTTGCAGATGTCGCACAAAAGAAAACCGCAAAGAGAAAAAGAGATGAGTACCATGTGAAGGAAAAAACCCCACAAACAAATACTTGCACCAATGTCGACATGCGCCATGTGAACTACAGATCTAATATGACCGGACTGGTCAAATTAATGAAAACCACCAAGTTCACAGAAGCACAGCTTCGGTGCCTTCAACAAACACCTTTTTGGAATTTGTTTGATGCATTGAGAAATAATCAGATCGACCTTGACAAATGCATGAAGTATGATGATGTTGTTATGCATGTACTACAAATGTACCAAGCTTCAAAAGATGCCTTCTACATTGGGGAGAAGAAGATGAACATACACAACAGCGACATCAAATTGATACTAACCTTAATCATGCAATCCTAGAATCCTCCAGAAAGTCGAAAACAACTGATTCGAACTACTTATAGTCCGGAAAATGTGACAGCCGAACACCTACCTCTTCGTCGTCTTCACTCGCAAACCACAGAACCAGATTACAACACCAAGAATGAAACCCTAGCACAACCAATCCTTGGAACGAGTATGCAAAACATAAACGTATCTCTTGGAATTGGATTGATGAAGAAAAACGTAAAATAGAAACTGCCAAACTGAATCAGCGAGGAAACAGGCACGTAATATGTAAATACGTATTAACACTGTACATATATATATATATATATATATATATGGAGGCAAAATAGTCCAGGTAAATATATTAAATTAGAAAAATGGACCTTATGGAATAAAAAGAAAAGTTTATGGGACTAATCAGGTTATAATATTCTTTTGTGGACCTAATGGGTTATAACAACTCTAGAATGGATTTATCAATAAAAATCTCATTAAATTATTAATGTATTATGTTAAAATATGTATAAGTCTTTAATAATATACATGCAAAACCTCAAAGGAGGTGAGTGAATTTTTTTATTTAAATAGCTTATTAGTTTATTTGATAGTTTTCATCTCCCGTTCAATTCAAAGGAGTAATATGGTCATTTTGAATGGTCAATTAACGCCATTTGTGCTAATTTAACGGAGTGGAGGAATCTTGATATATATTGTTAGAAAAAGTAGGAAAAATTTCTATAATTATTAAAACTATAGAAAAAGTTCTTATATTTGCCAGAAAGCTCAAGAAAGGTAAGTGTAATTTACTCTAACATTTATATGGGTATATGATTTATATCGCATGAGACCCACCCCATAGTACACAATATTTACATGGTGTGAGACTCACGCAGTATTGAACCCACCTTCATCGTGTTGTGTAAAATTTTAATATTTTTTTAAAATTTCTGATGTTTCACTTTTAGTTTTTTAATATTTAAGATCCCTCCAAACAATTTTAACAATTTTCTTGTGTTCGATAAATGAAATTCCCATTTTGAGTGGTATGTTCTATTTTTAACCGAAGTTAATCGTGCTGTCGACAGGGGTGGTGGTTGGTTGGTGTGTCGGTTTTGGGAGGTAATGAGCCCATTAAATGTTGGGACTGGTAGTACTAATGAGCAATGGGGTGATAATATTGGAGTTGTTGAAACATAGGAATGGATGAAAATCAATTTTCAAAGTAAAAAGTCATTTTTTACAATTTTCCAAAAACAAAAATTAACACTAAATTTTTTCTTTCTTTCTTTCGTCATTTAATTTTTTTGTAAAAATTAATAAAAAAATATAAACATAAATAGTAACAAATATGCTTTAGCTTTTATTTAATAGTGTAAATAATAGATGTGTACAGTATCTTAAAACGACATCATTTTGAAAAAAAAAAAAAACTTGACAAACACCTCTTTCAATGGTCGCAACCCTACCCCATTGCCACCCAACAAAAACATGTACCCCCATTCTGATTTCAATCCGACTGTCGAGTCCCGATCCATACAACTACGATGACAAAGATGGAAATGCATCAAAAGCTCCAGAAAATGGCGGCGGAGATCATGGACGAGAATGCAATATCAAACTCAGACCGCCAGAGAGCAATTCAACACAAGATCTAGAATCTTTCATGGGAGTCAATGTTTGCAAAGTAGTTCGAGATTATATGGGTGACTATATCGACGTCCTTTCGTATCCCTACCTCATGAATATTCTCCAGATTGAAAAGGTAATTCTTAAAATCAACATTGCAATCAACCTTGTTCATAAAATCAACATTCACAACTTTCATTCGATATATTCAGTGTTCATAAAATTTACATTTTTGCAACATATTTGAGAATATCTATCAAATAATATTTATATTGAATGTAAAATTTTGAAGGGATAAAAAAAAGAAAAGAATTTCATAGTAGATTTTTTTTTTTTAAATGATTAGTTTCTCCTTTATTTTTAATTGATTTTCAAAATTTCTTTACAAATTTGTCAAAAATTGAATTTCCACATGCGCTCTCGCGCGCGCACACACACACACAAAAAAAAAAACTCGGGAAATCTGGTAAATTTTGAAAAATTTCTTAGTTTTCATAAAAATTTACAATTTTGTACAAAAATTGTAAAATGTCACAATTTATATGAATAAGTTATGAAATTTCATAGTTTCTCAAACTAAGAAATTGAAATTTTTAATTAATTTATTTGAGAAACTATAACTATGAAATGGAGAACAAATGGGACATTGAAATTGTAATTTCACAATTCCCTAGGCATGGAAACTAAAATTTTATAGCTTCTCAAACACAGAAACTGAAATTTCACAGTTTTAGAAAATGTAATTTGTTTGAGGAACTAAGAAAATTTTATATTCTTTTTACATAATTTCATATTTAATGTTGATTTTGATTAAAAGGTCCTGATAAATAGATTCCTAAAACATATATGTTTTTTCAAAAACAGATGGTTATCAAAATGTGAAACCAAAAGACAAAAAAAACAAAAAAACTTGATAGCTTTGCAATGTCAATGGCCCTGTTTGGGGAACTTTTTTTAAGTTAAAAAATGATAATCAGAAAGTAGAAACTTAAAGCACCTTTATCCCAACTTTCAAATAATCATATTTTTTCAGATTATTTAAGCTATTTTTGCCTAATAAGCTATAGACAGAAACTGCACCAAACAGTCTGGGACAAATTTCAAAATCAAAATAATTTATAATCACTCTATAACAAATAGTTCCAATGTTATGAACACAAGTGACGTTGCACAAGTAAAAGATAAGATTATATTATGTATACATTTTGTGATCCTCTCCGTTATATATTTGTAAGGGGAGAATCAAAGTTCTTCGTAAATAATGTCACGTCACATATAATTACTCACAAAACAAAACACACGAGAATATTTTTAATGTAACAGTGTACTACGTTAGTGATAAGTAATACGTGATATCACTAACTAATAATAAATCTGGGATGAACCCCATTTTACATACCACATATACTTGAAGAGAAAAAATAATAATTAATGATTGAATGATGACGAATCGCTGTTGCATTTAATTTTTTTCTCCAATAATACATGTTGGAGAAAAATTATGCAAGACAGCTACTAAAAAAAGTTGAAAAAGACAACAGGCCATACTTCGGCCCTTGCCCTGACTTTCCTAGTTACCACTTTACAGAGAGATAAGATCCACCTAGTCGGACAGCCTCCATCACTCAATACCACCGCACCAGCAATCAATTTGCCGGGCACCGATAAAAGGCACACAAACAAAGATAGCCAGCCAGATCTCTTGGCAGAATGCCCTGGCTGTGGTTCTCTCGCCTGTCCTCTTTGTCTGATCGTCCTAGCACCAACCACACATATGCTATGGCACACCATCACTAATCAAATACATTGAGATGTTTTTTGTTTTTTTTTTTGCACTGCAATATTGCATGAATCATGATCTGCAAATCACATGCCATCTACTGTTTACATCTTCTTTGCAGTCTTTTGTTGTTATTGCGTTCATGTCTTCACTATTGTGCTGCCAGAGATACCATAACAGCAGGCAATCCGATCAACAGCACAAGTAACGAAACTCTCATATCAGACGGAAAAAGATTCGAGCTCAGGTTCTTGAACATTAGTGGACAGAGCAGCAGCAGATATGTAGGAATACAGTATTACACGTGGCGACCCCCAGAAATTGTATGGGTTTTCAACCGGGACAACCCACTACCTGATTCCGCCACTGGTTTCTTTGGCATTAAAAATGGCAATCTAGCTTTGTGGGATGAAAGTGGAAATTTTAACCTTTCCACCAGTCTCGGAAGCTCTCGTAGCACCGCCAAGCTTTTAGATTCTGGGAATTTGGTGGTGAGAGATGATCAATCGGGAAAAAGTTTATGGGAAAGCTTCAATAATCCAACTGATACGTTTCTTCCTGGCATGAAAATGAATGCGAACCTAAAGTTGACTTCATGGAAAGGGCCCCACGACCCAACAACGGGCAACTTTACATTCCAGCAGGAAGAAGAAGTTGAGAACGGTTACATCGTTTTGAAAAGAGGTACAATTTACTGGAAAAGCAGAGAGACAGGTAACTTCAATAACTACAACTACTTGTATGATGCTGTGGCGGTATTTCTAAATCCTGTACCTGTCCGTAACAATAGCAATACTGTCCCTAACTATACCAATGCGAGGCTGTTAATGAATTCCTACGGGCAGGTTCAGTATTTTATTTGGAGGGATAGTAAGACGGGATCATCAGGATGGTCTTCGATATGGTCTGAGCCGCGTGACCGATGCAGTGTTTATAATGCTTGTGGGAATTTTGGTAGCTGCAATATAAACAACAACAATAGGTGGTTATGCAAGTGTTTGCCAGGGTTTGAGCCTACCTCACAGGATCGTTGGGACTCTCAGGATTTTTCTAGTGGGTGCACCAGGAAGTCAGCCATATGTGGTGGAGACAAGGATAATAAGGGAGGTGATGAGATGTTCTTGGACTTGACGATGATGAAAGTAGGGAAACCAGACAGCCCACTTTCAGAGGTAGATGAGACGGTATGCAGAAAGGAGTGTCTTGACAATTGCCAATGTCAGGCATATTCATATAATGAAGCAACTAACACAAGGAGAGATGGTCCCAGACATGGCTGCTGGATTTGGACGTCCGTTCTCAGTAACCTTCAGGAAGAGTATGCTACAGATGGCCACAACATCTCCGTCCGCGTTGGGGCTTCAAGTATAGGTATACTTCCTTCCCTTTTGCAAAATAAATTGAAGCTGTGGTGCTTCTTGGTGTTCCTTTGCTTAATTTATTCAGGGTCTGCCTTCAATATAGTCTTAGATTGGGATTAGAGGATGGTGTCCTGACCGGATTTACGGGGTTCAATATGGATCATGCTTTTATAATTTAAAACGGTAATTTTTTAGAATCTTTTGTGTATATTCTTTATTAAAAAAAGAGGAGGCAAATTACACTTTACTCCCATTAACTATCACATTTTTTTACTTTACTCTCTCAAATTAAAAATTGATACATACAATTTACCCCATTCATCTTTTAAAAGTTTTCAATCTAACTTTTATGTCTCTATTCCATTAACAAAACAGAAGGAAAAGGTGTATATAATGTGTACATATCATATTTTTTTTTGACATTTAAAGGATATTTTCATCATAAATATGGCGTGCACTTTACTTGCATATTTTTTTTTTTGTCTATTTTGATAACAAAATGGAGAGATAAAGGTTAGATTGAAAATTTTCAAAAGATAAAGGGGTACATTGTATCACTTTTTAATTTCAGAGGTTAAAATAAAAAACAGTGATAGTTGAGGGGGGGGGGTAAAGTGTAATGTGCCCTAAAAAATGGGTTTTAAAAAATAAATTATCTATTTTTTGGAGGATAAACGTGATAAAATAAGCAATTTACAATTATTGGATTGGCCTAATATTTTCATTAATGATATATACAAAAATTTCTAAAAAAAACAATTCGAATTATTAAAACGAGACTCATAGTGAATCCTATGGGCCCAAACAATACTTTATAGTTCAGATAATAATTTAGATCTGAGACTGAAAGGAAACTATACCTTTATTTATTTTTATGATCATTTTTAAAAAAAAAATTACCTTACCATAAATAATTACAACTAGGCAACAAAGTTTAGAGTGTTTTTTATTTATTTTTATTTTTTTTTGATCAGAAAAAAAACTTTATTGATAACCACAAAGTAATATAAGGTGATACAAAGTGATACATCAAAATTTAGAGTGTCTTGAGTGCTTCCCTTCTAAAAATTTCCATACAGACTAAGGTCTCGTTTGGAAACAGACTTTTTTAGTAACTTTTTGACTTTTTGGCTAAAATGTGATGTAAAAAAAATTATTATGTTTGGAATGACTTTTTGACTTTTTACGAAAAGATGTGCAAAAAGTAGAGAAAAAAGGAAATCTTTGACTTTTTTGTATAGATTGTTGATTTTTTGATTTTTTTAGTAATTTTTTGACTTTTGGATTAAAAAAAACACTTGCCAAACGAGGCATAAATTCCTTAACCAAGAGTGAAGGGTGTGCAATAACAAAACAAAATAGTGGACTTGTGGGGTTCCGGTCCCACATCACGATGGATGAATGAAGATTCCTACTCACTTAAATAAGTGCACTTTTTGTCTTTTTACGAAAAGATGTGCAGAAAAATAGAGAGGTGATGTGATGAAAAAAAGATAAAAAGATGGATTATTTTTGGGTTGCCAAACTTGGCAATATATTATGAAATGTATTAAAAAGTTATATAATATAATTTTTTATGATGAATGAAGGGGAAAAGGGTGAAAAAAATTTATAATTTTAATTATTAATATTTATAATATTTATCAATCTTTTGTAAATAAACTTTCTGAGCTCAACTGATCTATAATTCTCCCATGAAATAATGAATAAAAAATTAATTGTGATGCAATAGAAGAATGAAGTTCCTACTCTCTTTAAATGGGATAGAGATGAAAAAATGAAGCTTTGTATTCCCTCTCTAAAATAAGGTAGGATAACTTATTTATAATAATGATATTGCCACATTATTTTTGTGGAATTTTTTAGGCGTTGGCTTCTGTCCAGTCCTTAATCGGACTGAACCGTGTTGTTGGGCCTGTGGGGGTCCACCACGGGTCCGTTTTGATAATTTGAACCGTTCAATGTATAGAACTCGTCGAGTACTATAAGCCTGTAAAAAATCACGTTAATCGGATATCGGTAGCTATGTGATTAAATCAGATTTTTGTCAACCGTTAATTTATTCACCGTCCATTTTTTTTATACAAAACTGATTTGATCACATAGCTACTGATATCCGATTAACGTGATTTTTTATAAATTTATAATACTCGACGAGTTCTATACATTGAACGGTTCAGATTATCAAAACGGGACCCGTGGTGAGCCTCTATGGGCCCAACAACATGGTCCAGTCCGATTCCGATTAAGGACTGGACAGAAGCCGAGCCCAATTTTTTTATATGACTTTTGTGTAAGAATAAAATTTTATTTAATCATGAAGAGGTGTGATCTATACCATAAAACAATGATTGAAATTTAAACTAAAAGTGATTGTTAAATATCTGTCAATTGATAGTTATTTGTGACTATTATAACATATGACTTTTATGTAAGAATAGAATTTTATGAGATCATGAAGAGTTGCGATCGATATCATAAAACAATGATTGGAATTTAAACCAAAAGTGATTGTTAAATAACTCAATTGATAGTTATTTGCGACTATTATAACAATTATTATCTTCTTCTAATAGTCACCCATATTTGTCCAATTACTACTCTTTATTTTAATAATTTTTTCATTCTGAGGCAATAAATTTTTTTTTTTATCATGATTACTATTATTATATTCATTTTTATTTTTTGGAGTTTAATTTATACAAAAAATTCTCGGTGTAATTGCAAAATAATTTTAGTTAGATTTTTGGAGTTTAATTGTAGAACGATTGTTTCACTTGACTGGACAATCAAACTAGATGGTCAAGTACAAGTAACGGTAAGGGGCAGACCATGTAAATTGATGACTAGATTTTCCTTTAGAATCCCCAAACCATCAATAACAGAAATATATTGTTGGTCCTTGTATTAATTAGCTGATTAAGCTGTTGGAACAATCTTCTGTGTAAATAAAATAACTAGAAATAAATTCAAACAAAATAAATAAATAACATACCGGATTTATTTTGTCGAATTAAATAAAATTACAAGACCAAGTCGAGTGTGTGACACTCTGTCCTTAAGACAGATTCGCCCCGCTATGGTACTTACGGATGAGTGGCGTCTATCTCCCAGGATACAATGATCTTCACAAATTGTAGTAGTACTCCAAACAATTTGTTCGGCGAACCAAACCCGTGTTCTAACTCTCTTTAATTTATTCTAAATCTAAAATGAAGAATAAAAAGAATACAAACAGAAATAATCTGGACAACAAGAAAAAAGGGTACTTTCAGACTGAAATTTTTCCTCTTGAAAACACATGCTGGAATTTGGTATTTATAGGCACATATGTGCAACCCGAACAGGTGCAAAACCAAAAGTGAACAGGTTTGTTTCAAAAAAACAAACAGATTCTGCCGTTGTACAGTAACGGCTTTATTTCAAACAATTTGGAAGAAGTTGCTGTAGGTGTACTAAAATCCAAACTATTTGAATATAAATATTATTAAATTATTAGACTAGTTTAAATAAATAAACAATAGTATAATAAATTTAATAAAATCTGTTAGGAATATAAATATTAATCTATTTGACAAACTTTAGGAAAAAAAAATTTGAATTTAGATTTAAATTAAATTCCCACACTAATTTCTTATTGAAAAAATTCAAAAGAATTTTATTAAGAAATTAATGTTAAACCTGAAAACGATGTCAACTTCCCATTCACTCATAAATGGTTTTGACATTCCGTATTCACCGTGTGACTTGCCACGCGGCAAGGAACACTTCACCTCGTCGAACCCACCCCAAACGTTGTTTGGGGTCCACCCAAATTGGGTTAAAAAATATGCCTATATAAAACCATTTTTTCCAACATAAGCATTCACCATATATTTCAATTTTGTTTGAGGAATCCATGGCTGATAATATTCAAAATTTAGATGTATCCTTGTGTCGCCTTACAAGTTGCAAAAAACCATGGTACTATACAATGTTATATGTGAACAATGTGCACAAAGATGATTATATGTTATATATTGACCAGGTTATATGTCATATGTTAAGTATATGTATTTGTCAAAGACTACTATATATCCATCTTACTTTTTCTCAATAGTAGAAATTGGATTGTTGATTTTGAACTCCTATTGTATTTATTCGCTTCTAGATGCCTATGCTAAAGTGGTACAAGGACTTTTTTCAAAATCCAATTTTTTTCATAACACAATTTGATTTATCTTATTACTAGCCTTTCTTACAGATATGAATGTGATCTAAAATTAGTTTTCAGAAGTTCAGCACATGACAATCTTTTGTTTAGAGACAGTTTTCACCTAGCAAACTAATACAATTATTTGTATGTAAAATTGTAGTATATTTATATGATATATTAGAAGAAATAATAATCTGAATATATCATTTTATAATTTCAACAAGTATGCTTCAATTAAAAAAAAAAAAAAAAAAAAAAAAAACTCATTTTCGACATATCAACAAACATGCAATTTGACATTTCAATAATGCTTGAGACCACTAAAAGTGGTGCTCTAAAAGCACCACTAGTGATGAGTGGTACTTTAGAGCACCACTTTTAGTGGGATGTATCATTACCGTTTGACATTTTTAGCTTATATGTAGATACATTTGATGTTAAGTCCTAGACTGCCAAAGTCTTCAACTAATATTATGTCAGCAGTCTAGTCTAGGCTATAAGGTTGTATTTTTTTTTTGATCAATCAAAGAAACTTTATTGATGAGCAAAGACTAGAAGGTTGTATTTTTCATAACATTGATCAGATATATAGTTGAACTACTCGACTATCAGTTAGTTTCTTTTTGAATTTTTTTAGAAAACTCTTTTTGGGGAAATCTGGGTTACATACAAATATGGTAGGAACACATCTTGTGATTAGCTACCCATTATGGTCATTATAGTGGTGTGATAGAAATTTATGACCGTAACAGCCACCACCGTTACGTAAAGGCCACCACCGTTACGTAAAGGCCATAACGGCCATTATATTGCCGCTGGCCGTTATGACTGTTATGCTTCTCTCATTTTGTATTTTGAACTTTTGTTTAGGAGAATATTATTTTTAATATTAAACGTACTTCATTTTTTTTTTCTTAACAAATCGGAGAAGTTGTCGGTAATTATAATTAGTAAAGTAAAGAAAATTAAATAAATCTAACAATAGGAAAATTCTCCGTAGCAACTTAAACCTAATATAAAAATTAGTATATATATTGGATCATGTTTTAAAACTAAACAAAAATACTAAAAATCATTTTCACTAAATGTGATTCTGAAATAATAAAAAAATGTGAATTGGTATGTTTTCCTAAAGTTGTGTGAATAATTAAAAAAAAATTACAGCTCCGATTGCCGCAACCGTTATGCTACGGCCGTTACACCCTGCAACTGCGTCAACTTTACTGGTACCGTTACGGTAACCGCCACCGTTATTTAAAACCTTGGCTACAATTATTGCTGATATATACTTGCCATCTAACTTTAGTTGATTTGTCCACTAGTATTTGTTCTTATTGTTGATTTTTGCATATATACGTTCCTTATGTTGGTTAAAAAAGATGTAATGTAACTGATAAATGTGCCTAGAATAAAAGTATAAACACATCACATTGCAGTTAAACATGATCTTGAAACTTTAGTGGTAGCTCTTTTTTTGACATAGAAGACAATCCACTCTTGTAGGATCAATAAGCAGAAGTTGTGAGACTTGTGGCACGAACATAATTCCCTATCCACTAAGTACAAGACCAAACTGTGGTGATCCCATGTACTTCAATTTCTTCTGCAACTTCTCAACAGGCCAAGTTAGCTTCCGGACTCTAGGAGGCACCTTTCAGGTCAACAACATCAATCCAAAAACACAAAAGTTTGTCATTGAAGTGAAAGATAAAGATTGTGGTGCTAGAAATTCAAAATATCTACAGCTCAGTCCAGCATCCCCTTTTCATGCGCCTAACTTGTGCCATAGTAAAAAACAATCAAGAAATGGCAATGAAGTAGAGTTTGTTTGGAATTCCCCACCGGAGCCACCTTGTACTTCAGCCATAGATTGCAAGGATTGGCCTAATTCAAGTTGCAATGCGACAAGTGGTGGTAAAGGTTGGTGTCACTGCAATGCAAACTATCAATGGAACAGGACAATAGTAGCCTGTACACAAGGTGAGGATTCTACATAATGCATATATTTTATCATTTTTCTTAAGTACTAGACTTTTCCCAGTGGCTGCAGGAATGAATGAAACTATGTTTGGGTGACAAGGTATATTTGATAAGAACTTGGGCAAGCTAGGAAAAGAATTATGAAAGAAGATAAGGTAGAAATGCAAATATAAGAAAACTTCTTCTTATTATGTTGATTACAGGTCAAGATTCTTGTATACATCAATTTACAATTAGCTCATGGCTTTATATAGAGAACATAACCATCTTAACCTCTTCTAGAAAGGTTCTAGAAACTTATCATTATTATACATTTTTAGATATTTTTATCATTATTAAAAATCTAGATAGATTATTTCAATTTACTAGATATTTCTAGATAAATATCTTTATAAATTATTCATTAATTACTCTAGATTTTTCTAGATAAATATCTTCATTAATTATTCTAGATTTATCTAGATTACAAATTATATTTTAACACCCCCACTTAATTTGTAATCTTCATGCATTCCTAATACTATAAGAATTTTTCTGTTGGCACTGCTTTTGTTATGATATCTGCTGATTGCTCATTTGTGTTGACAAACTCCAATTGGATTTAACCTTTCTATACACTGTCTCGAATAAAATGATGTCGTAGTTCAATGTGTTTTGTCCTACCATGGAATACTGGATTTTTGCTCATTGAAATGGTTGACATGCTATCACAATAAATTGTAGTAGAACCTTCCTCTTTGTGCTTCATATTTGAAAGAATTCTTCTAAGCCAAACTGCTTCACAAGTTGCATCTGTAGCTGCAATATATTCTGCTTCTGCTGATGATAGAGCTACAATCTTCTGCTTCTTAGAACTCCAAGAGATAATTTTTGAGCCAATACAAAATACATAACTTGATGTACTCTTTCGATCATCCAGTGATCCTGCCCAATCATTATCAGTGTAGCCAATGAGTTTACTGTCATTTTCTTTCACATACCTGATGCCGAGATTCTTAGTCTCTTGAAGATACCGAAGAATTCGCTTTGCTGCTACATAATGTAGCTTGCTCGGCTTATGCATAAATCTGGAAATAAGATTTACAAAGTAAACAATGTCTGGCCTTGTATTAGTGAGATAATTTAGTGAACCAACCAATTTTCGATAGGCAGTAGCATCGCTTTCTCTACTCCATCATTTACTTGCAACTTCTCATTTAAAGAGATTGGTGTAGAAACTGACTTACAGTCAGACATATAAAATTTCTTCAATAATTCTTCAAGATATTTTCCTTGAGAGATAAATACTTCTCCCTTTGACTACTTCACTTGAGTACCGAGAAAATATCGCATAAGTCCCAAATCAGTCATCTCGTACTTCTTCATCATGGCTCTTTTAAATTCTTCTACCATTGATGGTTTAGTTCCTGTATAGATTAAATCATCAACATATAGGCAAACTATGAGAAAGTCTTGCGTACCTCCTTTCTTGATGTATAGTGATGGTTCACTTTGGCTTCTTTGAAAACCATTTTGACAAAAATACTTGTCAATGTTGTTCTTCTAGGCTCGGGGTGCTTGCTTCAAACCATACTGTGCCTTCCAAAGTTGATAAACCTTGTCTTCTTTTCCTTTGATTATGTACCCTTGCGGTTGTTCAACATAAACTTCTTCTTCAAGCTCTCCATTGAGAAAAGTTTATTTGACATCTAGCTAATATACTGGTAGCTCATTTTGTGCAGCCAAGGCAAGAACGGTTCTTATTGTCTCCATACAAGCAACTGGAGCAAATGTTTCATTGAAGTCCACTCCAAGTTGTTGTGAGTAGCCTTTTGCAACTAAACGAGCCTTGTGCTTCTTGATGGAGCCATCTTCTTTATATTTGGTCTTGTAGACCCACTTAAGTTTGATCACATCTTTGTCTTTAGGTAGGTCAACAAGATCTCAAGTGTAATTCTTTTCAATAGTTTCAATTTCTTCATCCATTGCATTTCTCCAAATTTCTACTTTCACAGTTTCTTCAAAAAACTGTGGCTCACAAGCAAAAAATGCTACATCACAAGTTTCATATATTTCTCTTAAGGAACGTACCTTTCTTGGTGTTGTTTCAGATTCTTTAGATGAAGAGCTTCTTAGAGAGTCATTTCTTGACCTTAGGCTTGGAGTGTTATGTGGACTTTGGTTTGGGCTTTCTTCGAGAGTTGAAGATCCTACTCCTTCTGTTGCTTCATTAAATTCAAATCCCTTATGCTCTAGGATAGAGTTATCATACCACTTCCATGTTGTTATTTCATCAAATATGACATCTCTAGAGATTACCAATTTATTTTTCATTAGATTGAACATACGATATCCTTTTGATTCGCCACTATATCCAATGAATATATATTCCTCCCATTTATCATCAAATTTTTCCCTTTTTTAGGAAGGAATTAAGGCATAAGCAAGACAGCTGAATAATTTGAAAAGATTTACCTAGGGCTTCTGTTTGTGTCGTGCCTCATATGGTGTTTTGTTTTGGACAGCCTTTGTGGGAGATCGATTTAGAATATAAACAGTAGTATTGACAGCTTCAGCCCAAAAATTGTTAAGAAGACCATTGCCTTTTAGCATGCTTTGTGCCATCTCTACAATTGTTTGGTTCTTTCGTTCTACAACTCCATTTTGTTGAGCAGAGTGTCGAACTGTGAGCTGTTTTTTAATCCCATTTTCTTTACAATAATTCATGAATGGAGTATAAATGAATTCTTCGCCACGATCTATCCTCAACATTTTGATTTCTTTGTCACTTTGCTTTTCCACCAAAGCTTTAAACTTCAAAAATATTGAGAAGGCCTATGATTTTCTATCAAGAAAATAAATCCACATCATTCGAGTATAACCATAAAGAAAAAGTAGAAAATATCTCTTGTTACCAAGAGATGGTGTTCGGCAAGGCCCATAAATATCTGCATGCACCAACTCCAAAGGTGCTTTGGCTCTCCAAGAAGTCTTTGGAAATGGCAATCTATGCATTTTTCCATAAATGCATCCTTCACAAATTTTATTGATTTTGCCAATGTGAGGCAATCTTATAATCATATCTTTTTCTTTTAATAATTTCATGCCCTTGTAATTTAGATGTCCATATCTAAGATGCTATAGATATGGATAATTGGTGTTTTCACTTTTAAGGGCAAAATTATCATTCAGTGGCATTACAAGAGGAAAAACTTTGTTTGGAGTCATTTTGATTTTTGCCACTGTATGATTTTTCTTTTTATCAGAGATTATGCATTCATCATTATTAAAATTTACTGCATAATCTTTTTGTACTAATTGCCCCGTACTTAATTGATTTTGGGTTAGCCCTGGAACATAAAGAACGTCATAAATTAATTTTTGGTCACCTCCCTTTGTATGGACAGAGATGACTCCCTTTCCTTCAACATTTTGTAGCTTTCCATCACCAAGCTTTACTTGAGAAGAGACTTTTTCAATCTAGTTGCACAAAAATCTTGTGATTGCCTATCATATGATTACTGCATCCACTATCCAACTACCAAATATTTTTTGACTCTTGTTGGGCATTCATGCAAGAAAATAATTGTTTTGCTTCATTTTCTTCAGAAAAATTAGCTTTGTCTTTATCATTGTTGAACCAGCAATCACGTTGTGAATGATTTGAATTTTTGCATCCCTTGCACCTAAATCTGCAATCTTTAAATGCATGATTAAATTTCTTGCAAATAGTGCATTGAGAGTCAGAGTTATCGCTGAAATTTCTTTAATTATTGTAGTCTTTTCCTTTATTCTGGGCTTGAAATGAACTTCAGTCTCCTTGTCATTTTCTGGGCATTCTTCTTCTTTGAAATGAATCATTTCTTTGATTTTCTTGTTTCTTGTCTCCAATATTAACTTTGGGCTGAAATGCTTGCTCGATTGGATGATTTGTAAACATGCTCATTCTTTGTTTATGTGCCTCGAGAGAACTTACTAGCTCATGTCTAGTAAGTTTAGATAAATATTTGGATTCCTTGATGGCAGCAACAATATGTTCGAATTTTTGCGGTAAACTTCTTAAAACTTTTTCAACAATTCTCTTGTCATCAAGGTTGTCTCCATAACTTCTAATTTGGTTGACAATTCCAGCAACTCGGGAAAAAAACTCATTAATAGATTCAGTAGCCTTCATTGCTAGATTGTCAAAATCTCTCCATAATGTTTGTAGTTTAATGGAGATGACCTTATCAAAACCTTGATATTCACACTTTAATATATCCCAAGCTTCTTTAGATGTTTTTGCACCCATGATTCTAGGAAAGATAGATTTTCTTGCCCCTCGTTGTATGTTGAGCAGAGCACTTGCATCCTTTTTCTTGTATGTCTTGTACTACTTCTGACGTACTTCTGTCTAAGTTGCAAAATTCTTCATCATCTGCTGGTGCCTCAAGACCATCTTCAACTAGTTCCCACAAGTCTTATGAGACAAATAAAGTTTTTATTTGGATGCTCAATTTTCATAGTTCTCTTTCTCAAATATAAGGATGAGAGTTTGTGCATAGTTGAAAGTAGAGGAGTTTGTTTCCTACTAGAATAGTATTTGAAGAAAGAGATTTTGAGGCTTTAGAATAGGTGAGGGGAACCTTGCTCTGATACCAAAATTGTTAGGGTGACAAGGTATATTTGATAAGAACTTGGGCAAGCCAGGAAGGGAAATATGAAAGAAAATAAGGTAGAAATGCAAATATAAGAAAACTTCTTCTTATTATGTTGATTACAAGTCAAGATTCTTGCATACATCAATTTAGAATTAGCTCATGGCTTTATATAGAAAACATCACCATCTTAACCTCTTCTAGAAAGGTTCTAGAAAGTTTTGATATTTTCTAACATCATTATTATACATTTCTAGATATTTCTATCATTATTAAAAATCTACATAGATTATTTCAATCTACTAGATATTTCTAGATAAATATCTCCACAAATTATTTGTTAATTACTCTAGATTTTTCAAGATAAATATCTTCATAAATTATTCATTAATTATTCTAGATTTATCTAGATTACAAATTATATTTTAACAAACTATTAGTCAGAGGTGCTGATAATTGATTTATGAACTGTAAACGTTGCCTCTTGTGTTATTTGTTTGGTATCTATATTGTTAACCAGATAGATGCAAATTCTGTGGCTTTTCATATCTAGGAAAGCCATCTTCTTTCTCTCACTAATTTTTTTTTTGTTTTTTTTTTAGTGGGCAATAACCCTATGCAATCTGGAGGATCTAGGCAATTCGGAAGCTCTGAGAAGAAACATAAGTCAATTTCTTTGAAAACCAAAGTTATTTTCATAGTTGTGTTTTTCATAATTGTGCTATTATGCATCATTAGCTTGATTTTCTGTAGAAGAAGAATGGCAGCAAGAAGACGAGGTAATTAATTAGTCAGCCCTATAATGTGCATTGATTAAATTTATTTTTTTTCCCTTTACCGTTATTCTGTATCTTGAAAATATTAATGATAATTTCACTGTTCCATTCCATGTTAGAATTTTCTATAACTAAGTTGTATATTTATCTTCAACATCAGAAAGCAGAGAAAGAAGAGAGGGAAATCAAGCGCTTCGGATGTATGACATGGAAAGAAGTGTTAAAAACTTCTTAGATTTGAGTGAATTCAAAGAGGAGGATAAAAAAGGCATTGACGTACCTGTTTTTGACTTAGAAAGCATATTGGAGGCTACAAATTACTTCTCAGATGAAAATAAGCTCGGACAAGGGGGATTTGGGCCTGTTTACAAGGTTGTAGTCCTTTCCTAATTACTCATTGAAGTTCATTAACAAGTAGTTTCTTCTTTAATGACACCATAGTAGTCTAAAAATATGCTTGTAGGGTAATTTCCCCGGAGGGCAAGAAATCGCTATAAAGAGATTGTCAACTCATTCAGGACAGGGCTTAGAAGAATTTAAGAATGAGGTTATCTTGATTGCCAAACTTCAACACAGGAATCTTGTCAGGCTTTTGGGCTACTGCATCGAAGGCGATGAAAAGATTTTACTTTATGAGTATATGCCAAATAAAAGCTTAGACACGTTCATATTTGGTTAGCTTTTATAACCAAATTCCTCAAATGTCAGTTCTATATTTACTATATGTTAATTAATATAAATGAAACATGGTATTCTGATTGCTTTTGTTTTAATTTTAATGGACCATTTTCAAGATCAAACATTGTGCTTGTCATTGGATTGGAAGAAACGCTTCGATATCATTTTGGGGATTGCTCGTGGGCTTCTTTATCTTCACCAAGACTCCAGGTTGAGGATTATTCATAGAGATTTGAAAACAAGCAATATTCTTTTGGATGAAGAAATGAACCCAAAAATTTCAGACTTCGGCTTAGCAAGGATAGTTAAGGGCGAAGAAACAGAGGCAAACACCATAAGAATTGTTGGAACATAGTAAGTATAGTATGATTGAAGGTATTATCATTAAACTAAGATTGCCAAGTTTTCTGAGATGCAAATTTTAAGCATTCATTCTTTGTATAATGTGTCAAATCCTACTAATATTCAAGTTTAGAATTTGGCATAATAATGCAGTGGTTATATGTCTCCCGAATATGCATTAGATGGAATGTTTTCCGCAAAGTCCGATGTTTTCAGCTTCAGAGTAATTGTGCTTGAAATTGTTAGTGGGAAAAGGAACACAGGATTTTATCAGTCCAAAGAAGCCCTGAACCTTTTAGGTTATGTGAGTGCTAAAATTTGTTTGACTAATATATATAATCTTATGTCTTTTGGTTTACTCAAAATGTTTTGATTGGATGATTTATCATCTCAGGCTTGGAGATTGTGGAATGAGGAGAAGGCATTGGATTTGATGGATCGGACACTAGTTGAATCTTGTAATAGAGGTGAAGTTTTAAAATGCATAAATGTTGGGTTCTTGTGTGTACAAGAAGATCCTAGTGATCGTCCAAACGTGTCAAATGTACTTTCCATGCTCACCAGTGAAGCTGCAACTCCTCTTCCAAATCCTAAAGAACCAGCTTTTGTTGCAAAGAAGTGGATTTCTTCCGGACCTTCTTCTTCCTTTGGCAAACCCGAAACATCCTCTTCTTATAATGAGTTGACAGTTTCTACAGAACCCGGCCGATAAATAAGATAGTATTTTCATGAATCTTTACTTCTACATTTCTGATAGCAATTTAGGTGCGATTAGTTTGTGTAATGTTAATTTTAGGATAAATTACTAATGGGTCCTATTTTTGAGACATATTACTCATTAAGTTTATCATTCTCTCTTGTTTTTATAAATAAATTTACAGTAATAAATTTATTAGCAGGACCTGTTGATAAATAAGTCTAATTAATAAGATTGATAGGCAAGTGCCTCCTTAATTTTATCAGTCTCAAAATCAGACTAGTGTTATCTCCATGTTTTGTGTTTCTATTTTTTTTGTAAATTTATTTTCATTTTTATGGTAAATAATTTTTTTGGATGCCTCCTTACGGTTTGAAAAAAAAAAAAAAAAAACCCTAAGCTAGTCTCACTCTTTTTATATATTATTACTAAAGCAATCGAAACTAATTCAGAATGTGTATAAACATTGAAATAAATACAAATAAATACAACATTATTATTTTTTTAATATGATTAATGAATTATTAATTAAAAAAAAGTTTAATTATTATTTGAATTAAAATCTTAAGAGAAATTAATGTAATTATGATACAAGTGTAAGATTTTTTGAGGGGATGATTGGGTGTCCGGATAAACTATGACTAATCTCAAAACCTATGCAAAGTGTCCCCTCTATGCGGGTCGGGCAAAAGAGTGGGATTGACAATATTTTTTTCCATTGGTTGGGCTTTCCTCCCCGTCTAGACGGACCTTGTTTCAATAATTTAGAACCTTCATTTTGTGGGTGATTCTATTTGCACACAAATATAAATTCAGTACGCCCAATTAAAATTTTAAAACTTTAGTTTCTATTATATCTTAATGTAAATTTACTAATAAGGGTAATACACATTAAATCTTAAAATAAAATATTATTTTTTTTCATTATACACCTTAATCACTTTTATATATATATATATATATATATTTAATTGAGAGGGTTTTTAAAGTTTATGGAAGGACTAATTTCAGGCCAAAAAGTGTCAAAACTTAGAAAAAAAATATAAATAAAAATCTTCAATGACATTAGTTTTTTGAAAAAAATATAAACCAAAATATTTTCCAAAAAATAAGCACCTCTTTCTCAACAATACAATTCTAAAACTTCAATCAATGATCACAAATTCCAACTCCTCTAAAAAACTCAAAATTTCAAAAAACAACAGAAGAGCTTTCGAAAGGAAGATAGGAAAAGAGGGAGAAAGTGGCCCAAAATGTAAGAGTTCACAAGCGTCCTCGCATGGGACATTCTCTAGGAGCATCAGTCTCCATCATTATCTTTATCTTCATGGGCTGGAACATACCCAGCCTCCATTTGGAAATAGATTATTAAGTTGGTTATTTGATATTTTACGAAAAAATATGAAAAAAAATAAAAAATAAGTAATGTGATAGAATGTTTTGTTTTATTGCCTCTTTTAACTTATAATGAGCTATTTTAGCCCATTCCAAACACAGAATTGTTCAACAACTCACTCTCATTCATACAATCTTTCATTTCTTGAGACTCAATTGTGAAACTATGCGAGAATTCGGTGTGCCAATTGTTATGAAGTATGAATATTTCAAAAAGAGAGACGTACATATTAGATATTCATCGGATACCGATACTTTTTGAATATTCGCGGATACGTATCAGATACTTATTAAAAGCATTGGATACTTCTTGATTAATTTTTCATTAATTTTGGAGTATCAGGTACTTAATTTTAAAATATCGAATACTCGAAGTCACATATTACTTCTAATACTTTATTTAGTTATTTGATAAGAGGAATATAGTAAGAGTTAAAGTAAAAGAAATTATCAAATTGATATATCCATATTGTCTTTCTCACTCTCTCATGTTTTTTTTTTCTTTCTACTCTTGTTCTTTTTTTAGTGTTGGCATGTAAGAATGATATTTAGGCCTCGTTTGGGAACATGCTAATTTAGTAACTTTTTGGCTATTTGGCTAAAATATGAGCTAAAAAAAACTAGTATGTTTGGGATGACTTTTTGGCTTTTTATGAAAAGATGTGCAAAAAGTAGAGAGAAAGAGAATCTTTGACTTTTTGGTATGTGTTGTTGGCTTTTTAGCTAATTTAGTAACTTTTTGACTAAAAAGAAAGGTTCCCAAATGAGGCCTTAATTTACATTTACTTTTGCTTTTAATTTTGAATGTTTTATGAATATTTGAAAACTTTTAACTTAATAGGAATCCCTTCTCTTTATTTATTAATTTTCTTTAGGTTTTATTTTTGTGCATATTATATTATTAAAATTATAAAATATATATATATTTTTTACAAATGTATCCCTACCGTACCCGTATTTATTTTATTTTATTTTCAAATTTTGGCATGTTGCCGTATCCGTATTCCCTTATCACCGTATTTCATATTCGTATCTATATCCGTGCTTCCTAGGCCAATTGTGAACAAAAGAAACAAGTGTAATGAAATTAATCTGTTTAAGAATTTTTTTAAGTGGTGTAATTTGAGATTTTTGATTTATTTATTATTTGAGTGTAGCTTGAAGAACAATTTGGAAAAAAATATATAGGGTGCATTGAGAATAAATTATAATCCTAAATAATTTAATAGAATGTATTGAGAAATTAAGCGTACTTAATAATTTTTTTGGATGCAAACAAAAGCCCCCTTAATTTTGTAAGGTTCTTTATATATATTGTCCATACAAAACATTAGATCGATCCAATAATCACAGCTTATTCAATTTATTATATTTGTTTTAAAAAATAAATTGTAAATGTATTTTAAAAAATAGACCATTTATCTATTTGGTGAGAAACACAATAAATTAAATAAATTACGATTATTAGATTGACCTAATGTTGGGAAACTGTGTGGGTGAAAATCTGACCACACTGCTTACTCAGAGATCAACTGGAGAGCACAGGCAGAATAGATGGCTTCAGCAACCTGTAACAGAAAGAGAAGGTTCCGGCGGTGGTTCTTCCACCCGGGGGCACTCCGACGATCAAGTCAGTATATCTCTCAAAGATAATCAAGTGCTAAACTTAATACTCAAAGCATAAATTACATACCTTAGACCCACGGGGGTGCCTCTCTTTTATAATATATTCAATTCAAGTCATACTAGAAGTATGACTTCTATGAAATCCAACTCTGTGCTTACTTTGGACTTCTCAAGAGATAAAGATAAACTCCCTAAGAGCTTTATCCTTATCTTGGTTAAGTCCCCTCTTCGTCTTAGGACTCTTGTCCCTTATCCGTTAATCTCGGACTCCGATATCTTCGGAGATAACCTCGGTAACACCGAGATCACCTCGGCCTAACTACCACGACACGTGGCACCTCGGCTGACACGTCGGCGTCACTATGCCACGTCGGAGATAACCTCGACCATAGGAGTGTTACTTTTGGACCAGGCATTCTGAGGTGATGGAACCTATATTTGATATTTCTTTCTGCATTGTGGCCAAGAAACTGTTTGGCCGAGATAATTCTTTTTCAAGCCGATGTGTTCGCTTCTGAGAACAAGAATTCAAATGTACTCTATCACGCGCATGAGCTGTCATGCACATCTAACCGTTTCTTCCACGTACTTTGTTTTTATTGGCTCGTTCCTGCGACGCGCCTTAAGGCTGTCTTTTCATCCGTCTGCGCCGTCTGACGCGTGCGTTGCTCCAGGCATAATAAATGCCCTATTTTTGCCGCCGTTTCAAGTTTTGATAAAACTTTTCTTTGCCTCTTTCTTTCTTTACTTTTTCATTCTGATTTCTTGCTCTTTCTCTCTCCGAAAGCTCTTTTTTCTTCGAATCTGCCATTGCTTCGATCTCTCTTCTGCAACTGTCCTTAATCTTCCATTCTTGCGAAGCTTTCTTTGCTGTGTCAACCGACATCTAACTTCGGCGAATATTGCTCCGGCTTCAATTGTTCTGGTAAGATTCTGTTCCCTTTATATCCAATCTCTTTTATGTGTTTTTACCATTACTGCTTTGTTCAAACCTTGGATTTGCTGAACTGTTATCTGGATGCGTCTATTCATGATTCCACTTATTTTTTGAACACTTGTACTGTTTTAACACTGCTCTTGCCATAATTCTTGACCTTTAACCTTGTGTATTCTTCGTGTTTTTGATAGCCCATCGTTGTTCTTGAATCTGAAACTTTGCCATTGTTTTCTTGTTTTCTCGTATCTGTTTCAGATCTGTGCCTTCGATTTTGATCTCTACAATTCTTTTGGCTTGGGAATTTGTGTGCAGAACCTTCAATTTTTTAGGGAAAACTGAAACAAACCTTGTCAGTCCCTCCCTAGGTCTTTGCTGAAATTCTTGCAACCCTTCTTTGAACGCCCATTTCCTGAAATGCATTCTTCTTTTGTTTAAGTCGACATAATGGGTATGTGGAGGCATAGGGTTAATACCCCCACAAAACTCGAGTACTTTAGGCAGGAATTCTCCATCCCAGCCGATGTTCACCTTAAGCTAGCTGGGGATAATGATACCATTATGCCCGCAGACCATACGATGCCCTTTCCTATAGTAGCCTTCACTGAATGTGGACTTCGGCTTCCACTGAATCCCCTGTTTCGTGAAGTTCTTTATTTCTACAAACTGAACCCCATGCAACTTACTATCAACTCCTATAGGGTGATTAACGGTATTATAGCTTTAGCTAGGCAAGAGAATCTTAGGATCACCCTGGCCGACCTTCAGTACTGTTATACAATGTGCCCCCTCAACCTGAAGGAAAGGGGCTTTGTTTATTACCTTAAGCCGAGGTCTACCGAGTTCAAAATTGTAGCCGACCTCCCAGACTCCAACAAGGGGGCTGGGGATGACTTTGTTAT